GGTTTACTCTTGTCATTTTGTTGTGTTTTTTTTTTTTTGGTGGTGTTGACGGTTTCTTTGTTCTGCTTAATTTTCTGTGCTGAGTTCTTTTTTGTTTGTGGTTTTTCTTTTCATTCTTTTGTTGTTGTTGATTTTGTGTTTACTGAGTATGTTTTTCTTCTTTTTTATTTTGATAAGTAGGTTTTTTAACTGTCTTTTTGGTTACTTTGAAATTTACCTTTATCTTCCTAAATTTAATGCAGTCTTTTATTTCTTGATATCGCCTTGACTTCCCCTCCATATGAAAGTTCTATAACTACACCATTTATTCCCCCTTTTTGTTCTGATGTTGTTGTCATTTACAGATTGATGTCTCTGGTTCTCTGTTTTCAGTCTTTTAGCTTTGTTTTATTTTTGAGAATTCTTTACCTTGGTATGTGGCTGATGCTGTCCTGCGTCCTAATCTCAGGTGGTTGTCTGATGTTGTTGGTTCTCTGTCTGAAGGACTCCCTTCAATATTTCCTGTAAGGTTGGTCTGGTTTTTATAAATTCCCTTAATTTCTGCTTATCTGGAAATGTCCTAATTTCCTTATGGTATTTGAGAAGGAATTTTGCTGGATATATAATTCTTAGTTGGCAACTTTTTCCTTTCAAGGTTTTAATAGATGCCATCTCACTGCCTTCTTGTGTGCATGGTTTCTGCTGACTAATCATAGCTTAGTCTTATTGGTTGCCCTTTGTAGATGACTTTTCATTTTTTCCAAGCTGCTCTTTCTTTCTTTGTCTTTGGTTTTGGCAAGTTTGATTATGATATGTGTTGGTGACTTTCCTTTAGGGTCTATCATGGGCTGGGTTCGTTGAGCATTTAGATGGATGTCTTCTCATCTTTCATGATATTAGGGAAGTTTTCAGCTAGCAAATCTTCAACAATTCTGTGTTTTTGTTTTTTTAATGTTTTTGCTTCCTCCTGTTCTGGAATTCCCAGTAGGAATAAATTTTTACTCTTGATAGTGCCCCACATAATCCTTAGGCTTTCTTCATTTTTCTTCATACTTTTTTCTGATTTTTTTCCTCAAACAAATTGGTGTCAAGGGATTTGTCCTCTATTTCACTGATTCTATCTTCCATTGATTCAATTCTGCCCTTATGTCATTCTACTGAGTTGTCTATTTGATATTTTATTGTTAAAGTTTTGGATTTTTAATTGCTGTTTTTGTAAAGTTTCTAATTGTCTGTTCATTTTGTCGTTTTGTTCTTGTACTGTTTTCCTGAATTCTTCTACTGCTTTATCTGTTCTTTCCTCAATTTTGTCTGTTTCCTCAGTTTTACCTTTGTTTTCCTTAATCTCTTAGAGGATCCTGTGTATTAGTCTTCTGAATTCCTTATAAGGCAGTTCCATTACCATTTCTTCCTCTGGAAGGTTTTCTGGTTCTTTATTTTGGTCACTTGCTGGAGCTATCTTGTCCTGCTTCTTTATGTGACTGGATATTGTCTATTGTCTCTGAAGAATCAAGGTGTTATGGTAATTATTTATTTATTGTATGTTTGCTTACTGTGTCCTGATTTTTTGTTTTGTTTTGATATATCTGAGTAGGCAGGGCATGCGTGCTACTCTGTTCACTAGTCTGGCTGCACTGGAGCTCTCACCATCTGTCTCTGGGTAGGTGGGGTAGTGGCTGAGTATGTGAATGAGGGTCTCTGTTGGCTGGTCTTGTGAAGCGAGGCAGGGGGGATGCCACAGTCCATGGGTGCCCGCTAGGAGGGCGTGCCCGTTTGCTACAGTGTGATGTGGGGTATGGTGTGCCATCAATCCTTGGTCCTCTGACGCAGTTGCCTGGTGGAAAGAGGGGGTGTCACTGATCCCCAGGCCCTTGGGGCCAGCAGCCAAGTGGAGAAGTTACATTGCCAGTATGCAGGCCCCCAGATGGGTGGCTGGGCAGAAGAGGCAATGCTGTCAGATCACAGACTCCGGGCTTCGGTGGTTGGGCAGAAGAGGGGTGTTATCTGTCCAGTCTCCTGGTGCAGGTGGCTGGGTGGAAAAGTGAGCACTGCTGTTCCGTGGGTCCCTGGTGCCAGTGGATGGTTAGAGAAGCAGACACGGCCAGTTTGTGGGTCCCCAGCACGAGTGGGTGCGCAAAAGGGTGGGTGCCACTCGTCTGTAGGCCCCTGGCTCAGGGGGCAGGGTGGTGGTGGGTGCTGCCAGACCATGATCATGTGCGGGGGTATGGCGGGATGCATAAGTGAGGGCACCACAGATCTGCAGTCCTCCAGCATGGGGGGTTGGAGGGGCAGGGTGGGTGAGGTGAGTTCACTTAACCTTTGCAGGGTGGGGAGCACTCCTGCCTGGCTCTGGACATAGGTGCAGGGTCATGCCTATTTGGTTGCACTAGGTGATGGGGTCTTCAGCTGGGAACTTTGCTTGCTTTGTCTCAATATGGCTGTGCTGTGCAGGTTTGGCTGGCAGAGTGCTAGCAAACTGTAATTCTCCATGTCCACTGTTTTTGTAATGTCTCTCCTTCTACTTGGCACTCGATCCAATTATTCAGCCTTGCCTTTGATGCTCTAGGTTCCAAAGTTGTCATCTATATCTCATTCACTTGTTTTCTCGTTTCTTTGCTGTATGGGGGGCATTATGGGCATCTGACTATGCTGCCATATTGGACTGCCCCTAATAAAATGAAACTTGATCTCACATTTCAGTGCAGCTCTAAAGCCAAGATTTCAGTGCTGTTTTTTCTTGATTCCAGCCAGCGGATGGATTCCATCCACAAGATACCTTGGATCAAGATCAAGAATCTGGGCGCAGACACTAGACACATCCGCAGTTGCTGCTGCCACCGCTCACAGACCTGAAGAGCAGATGCCCTCCGGAAAAGGAGTAGAATGGGGAGATGGGGCAGAGGGAGAAGAGGGAGGAGGAGGAGAGGAAGAGAAAGAAGTAGAAGAAAAAAAAGAGAGGATGCTGCTGCTGCCACCACAGCCACTGAAAACCCACACCGCCGAGCCCCTTCCTCATCTCTATTTATGTTTTAATACAAGTAAGTAAAAGAATTGAGTAATATGGTTATCATTGTAACACTAAGATTTAGTTGATACTGATGTGTTTCCATTTTCACTTCTTATGTACTACACCCTCCTTCCCTATCTACCAAAAACAAATCAATGGAAAGTTTACTCAAAGTTTTAGAGACCAAAACTACTTTTACATTTGTCTCAGTTTAAGGGACCTAGTGAATTCACTGAATTAAGGTATGTTGCCTCCTTTGATTCATCTCTAAGATACTGTTACTTAGGCTTAATCATATTTTAATACACTGATGGTGGTTTTGTTTCACCTCTTTGGATTTAGCATTTTGCATAAAACCATGCTTAAAACAAACCATGACATTTCAAACAAGTTCCATTTTAATAAGGGAATAATGTAGCTTAAATGTTGGTGCCACTTTTAGCAGTATAACTTTGCAATCTGGGAGTTTTAAGAAGGACTACAAACACATTAATTAAGGGATAAACTAAAACAACTAATCATAGAAAGAAGAGTATGCTGCCAATGTAAACTAGATGTATATTTAAGAAATTGACAAAATTAGGTCATTGATGAGCATTTTATATCTATTATTCTTAGGTTTTAAGTAATATCCTTATTTAACTTCCTTTCATTGATTCCTTTTGTTTTCATATCGTGGTATACTAATAAGGAAACCCTGGTGGCATAGTGGTTAAAAACTACAGCTGCTAACCAAAAGGTCAGCAGTTCAAATCCACCGGGTGCTCCTTGGAAACCCTATGAGGCAGTTCTACTCTGTTCTATAGGGTTGCTATGAGTCGGAATCGACTCAACGGCAATAGGTTTAGTTCGGTCTATACTCATAAAGCTGGACTGAACTGATATACCTATATATAATTCTGGAGCTGATTCCTCAAATGGCTGTCAATGGAAACAAATAGGTTTATACTTTTAAGGCTAGAGGTTACAACAAATTATAATAGCTGGCAATAAGAAAAACAAATCAACTGGCTGAAGCAAAGACTGTCCACTAAAATTTAATTTTTTCCCTCTTCACACTATTTTTGAATACTTTATAAGTTTCAGCTGTATTGTATTCTGCTCATTAAAGGTAAAGGATTTGCAAAAATATGACTTATTTACACTTTCACCAAAAAGTGATTGGGTACTATGTGCTGAGGAACCCTGTTGGTGCAGTGGTTAAGCACTGGGCTTCTAACCGGAAAGTCAGTGGTTCAAGCCCACCAGACACTCCATGACAGAAAGATGTGGCAGTCTGCTTCTATAAAGATTATAGCCTTGGAAACTCTATGGGGGTAGTTCTACTCTGTCCTATAGGGTCACTGTGAGTCGGAATTGACTCAGCGGCAATGGATTTTGGATTTACTATGTGCTAGATGGTGTGGCATGCAGAGATGAAGGAAGACATAGCTCCTCCACTCAAGGAATTTACTATATTCTAGTGTGTGTGCCAACCAAACAGGCAGGGTTATGACAGAGATATGCAGAGCGTTAAGGGAATAAACAAAAGTCAGCGAACTTGTATTTGAGTGGGGGATAACAGAGGCATTCAGAAATTTAGAGATAGTGGGTTCTAGGGATGGTATTTTTTTTTTTAAATATCAATTTTACATTAAAAATTTGTACTTGAAAATGTTAAGTTTCTATCAGCATTTTTTTTGGGGGCGGGGGAGGGTGGTGCTACAGGAAAACCCTATACTTCATCTATGAATACTGAGTTGAGCAATTTAAAACATAAAGCCTCAACTAATTCCTTAGGTGATAACTAGTAATGAACTTCTAATTTCTAACAGAGTGAATCTGGAAGAGAAAATAAAGTATTGTCTGGTCCTTTTGATAAGGAATGTTAGTAAGAGGAAAACACTGTCTCTTTTCTATAAGCAATACAATTCTAAATTATTTCGATAGAGATCATCAAATGAAAAATAAAAGTTGTAGCTGTTTTCAACATTGTAAAATTGTTGGGCCATGGTTGGTGCATATTAAAACTTACATCTTCTGCTTTCGAGCCTTGATCCTGTAAAGATTTTTGCAATTCTTCAACTTGTGACTGTACTTCCAGAAGTCTTTGATTCACCAGCCTAGAAATCAAATGTGTGTTAATTTTCCAAATACTGAATTATTTATCGTTTTTTCCCTATATTGGTTACAGAGATGGTATAATTAGCAAAATAAAGTCCTCAGTTATAGTACTAGTAGCTCACTTTTCTGATTATTTTTTGGATTGCTTAAAATTTCTAATGCAGTTTTTAATGGACACATTTTGTTGAACTGATGTACTTAAATGCATATCGATTTATCTGAAATTCATATCAAATATATGTTTATGAAGACTACGTGTTAGGCACTACACTCAGCGCCAATGATAAAAAGATCCTTGCACTCAAGGGCGCTTACAGTCTAGTGAAGAGGCAAAAGTGTAAATAAGAAAAATACAATGAGATACATGCTTCAACATAGTGCACAGACATATACAAAAGTAGTATGGTTGCTTGAAGAAGCAAGAACTGTACCTAACTGTGTACAGAAGTTCAGATAGGCTTGACTTGAATAGTGACTACAATGATGAATAAAATACCTAACGTGGTAAAGGGTGGAAAGAGGATTCAAGACAAAGTTCAACTTGTCCGAAGTGCACAGAAAAATGAAAGGGTGCAGTGAGTTGAGGAATGGCATGGTTGAAGACTAAGTTATGACAGGGAGAATGGCTGCAGATGATACTGGAGGCGAAAAGGAATAGATGAGGACAAAAGGAAAAGACAAGATTTCAACCTTCTGTAAAATGCAAATTTGGCTGACACTGGAATAACCTAGCCAGCCTTTATTAACATCTATTCCAGAGCTCTATCTTCATAAACTCTCTATAGGTCACTATGATGCAGCATTCAGTGGACCAATTTGGTTCCCTAGGTCTTGGGTGACATTGAGGGACTGCCAAAAAGAGGAAAACATAACCAGACAGTATTTTAGACAGACGACATTGGCTTTAGAGTGAAAGATGTTATTAAAAAGGTCAAACAGGAGGCAGGAAGACCAGGTAGGAGGCTATCACAATTATTACTGAAAAGGAGACAGAAAAGGAATGCTTTGAGAAAAGTCAAAAGAATAGGAGGAATCAATAATAACACTTAAGGTTTTGGTCTGAGCTACCAAGAACTATTCGTTGAGAAAGGGAATACAGGAGGAACAGTTTGAGGAAAGAATATAAATAATCTGATTTTGTATTTGTTGAAAATTAAGTACCTAGAGATCTCTGTCAAGCAGCTAGGTACCTGAATCTGGAGCAGAGAGAGAGGTCTGAGTTGAACATACAGATTGGGGAGCGAATTGGTGTTAATTCAAGCAATAAGCATAAATGATATTTTGTAGAAAAAATGTGAAGATGAGTGGAAAAGAGGTACGTACAAAGATTGCACATAGCAGACCACCAACCAAGGGGTAGGAAGAGGAACCTCACACTAAAGAATAAGCAGAGAATTAAGAGAGCTAGAAGAGAGAAGTATTATTATAATAATTAAAAAAAGCTTGAGGGAAGGGGAATTGATGAGTAACACTGAATACAGAAGAGAAATAAGGAAAGCTAAGGTCTTTAATGCTCCACTGAACTGGACATTTAAGAGCTGACTGGGTTATCTTAGTAAGAAATACTCTAGTGGAATGGTAGTAGTAGAACACAGACTGCCCCAAATTAAGGACAAAATAGGGCAATGAGTGTTTAGAATCCAAACAGCCGGAAGTTCAGTAAGAATTTACTCTTATCAAGAAGTCATAAGAAATTATAAACCTTCTAGGTTCTATAATTTACTGAGACAGTAAAAATTCAGTCAAATCTATAATAATAACCAATGTTTTTCACATCAAAGAATAGAAAATCTGAATGCTTTTTTAATAGTGAAGGAATAAATTATCTCAAAATCCATAATCAATATGGGGACACAGATACATAAATACATTACCAGTGATGCTGTAACTGTACTCAGTCTTACCAGAAAGTAATATGGAAATATGTATTAAAAACTATAGAATTATTTCAACTATCCATCTAAAGATTTACAGCCTTGGAAACCCTATGGGGCAGTTCTACTCTGCCCTATAGGGTCACCACAAGTCGGAATTGACTAGATGACAATGGATTTGGTTTTTTTGGTTATCCATTTTAGTCATTTTTTTAGATTATTTAGTCAACCAATATTGCAAGCCTACTAGGTAAAGTTATTGTAAATATCACAAAACACAATCAGTCTATACCAAGATGTTCCTTGGACAGATTTGAAAATAACTCAAATGCCTAGCAAATGGGGAATGGACAAGGAGACATACTAATATGACTGTTAAAGTATTACATATGCAAACTACACAAATATATGCAAATATATATGAAAAAAGTTAATCTAGAAAATAAATGAGGATTGTGATGCCTACCCTTATGGAGTTGGTTAAGTGAGATAATGTATGAAGTGTATCTAGCACAGTACCAGCACATGGCAGGTACCCTATAAGTGGAATTGCCTCTATCTCCTTTCTCCCCCATTAAGGGGTTCAGTTATTTAATATTTTAATCAGTTTAATTACTGAATTCATATAGTTGTCAAAGAGGTATAGGGAGAGGGTGAGCTTGAGATCGTGATACACTCTGAGAGAAGAGGGGACAAGGTCATGTATACTTTGCGAAAGCTCCCTGGGCAATTCTGATATGGCTCCACTCTCAACCCTTCATTCAGCTCTTAATACTGTGTGAGGGTCAGTAGGTATTACAGATAAAAATAATATTAACTTATTAGGAAAACTAATTGTAAAGGACTTTGGAGGTCTACTACATACCTTTTCTTCTAACAAACGATACCTGGGTGATATGCAAATTGTACTTAAGGTCATACAGTGAGAAGACTCAGTAGGACTAAAACCCAGGTTTCCTGATGCCTAGTCCAGTGCAGTAAACTAGTAAGAGATTACCTTACTCTTTTCACAAATAATGCACCCACGTAAATAACCCACCCACACACATATAACATGCATAGTGTGCCTAGGAAAACAATGTGTGAGGGGGTTGCGCGGTTGGCAAAGAAGTGTATAATGCACACTTATTTGCATAAAAACACGGTAAGTTACAGTCAAGATAATGTAAATATTTATAAAACTCAGTAAGAAAAAATTTCGGCTAATTCACTTAAGAGGAAAAGCATACTCTAAGAGGAAGACAGGGAAAAAACAAACCGATGTTCTGCAAACATGGCTGAAGATAAATTGGCAAGAAAGAGGGTATGAGTTAGGTACAGAGACTTTGGAATCAGGCAGCCTGCGTCTGTGCTCAAGTTCCCCCATTTGCAAAACTTTCATAAGGCTAAATCAACACATTTGGAAAAACATGTGCATCATAAATATCAGCTGCTATTATTATTGTTTTAGATCATATATGGCCACAGTGTTATAATTTAAAAAACAAACACAATACTAAGTTATAAAGAGAAGCAGACAATACAAGAACTTGGGAGTTTTTGGTTATCTACATACATGAATAACGTATAAATAACCACTAGCTGATCTGTTTCTGATTAGATAAGAGCAATAATTATAAAGACTGTGAGAAATAATGGAAAGCATTATAAAAGAAGTTGTGGATGTTTTTTCACTAGAAAAAAAAAATAGGGGACAGAGAAGGCTTCTCTAAGAGGGTTAAATATAGCCAGAGGCAAAAGATTAATGAGATGAACATAAGACTGCTTTCACCTCTGGGATTCCATGTTTGCCAACTGTTTTCTACAATTACCCTTCCTCTACCTTCTCATTTTCCAGATTCTTAAGTATTTAAAAAAATTATTCTTTATTTATGCTCTTAAAAGTTGATGTAAGAACTTTCTCCTTCTGTTTACGCTTAATTAAATGCTCTTACAGTCATGTGGGTGTTTATAGTGGTTTATAGTGTTTGCTGACTCTACTTTAGCAGCTTTAAAAATTAAAGCTGAAGGAAGACAAGTAGGATATATAAAATTATAACAAGACTGACTCACACCTGGGAAATGCCAACTCAATCAGGCACAACAAAGAAATTGTGATGTTAGGCAAACTATGAAACTATTAATATAAGCATCAAATTCCTCAAAAATGACAAAATAGCACACCCCTAAGAAAAAAAGACACTGTATGCTTGGTATCATTAAGAAATTCTTCAAAATAGAAAAAGAACCAAAAGAAAGAATCACAACAAAATATAAAGTAAGCCTTGTCAGAGTAAGCTACTGCTTTTTAAGTAACTGACTTTGAATGACTGCCTAATATGTTGAAAACTTACAAGCAGAAAAGTGATTTTTGTAGATTCTAAATTCTAAAAATAAGATGAAAGACTTCCTTTTAGGGTCACAAGAGATAATAAATTAGAAAAAAATATTCTGTCAATTAAATTGTGATGGATCATTCTGCTTCCCCACACTAACGGATCCTTTCAAACATCAGCCTATAAAATGAGGTAAACTAGATTAACCTGACAATGACTAGGAATTGACTTTGTTGTGAAAGATTCTGTGAACTAATGGTCAGATATTTAGAAATCTTCTGGTCTTAATTTGTGATTAAAAAGGGAAAATGCTAGGGCTTTGGTATCATCTTGCTTGAAAAAATTAAAAAGGGGATCCTATCATAAAGAGGCATAGCACTTTTAGGCAAGTCTGAATTGTTCCTCCATCATCAACATAAACTCACTGCCCCCCAAGTTTCCTATCTAATCTTTGGAGTTGCTGTTGTCAATTTGATCCCACATAAATAGATCTTAAAAGAGCTCAATGGTCAAGGCAGACATTTTTTACTAGTTAAGCTAAACTATTGTTTGGTTTTAAGAGGACTTCAGGGGATATTTTTGGTTTAAGGTTTAAAGATTATCTCAGGGCAATAGTTTCAGGGGTTCATCCAGCCTTCACAGCTCCAGAAAAGCTGGATTCCATGGGAATTTTAAGTTCTCTTCTGCATTTTCCCCCTTTTGATCAGGATTCTTCTATAGAATCTTGAACCAAAAATTCAATAATCGTAGCTGAGTACCATCCAGTTCTTCTGGTCTCATAGTAAAGGGAGTAGTTGTTCATGGAGGCAATTCACCACACATTCTATTTCCTTCTACTCCTGATTCCTCTTCTTCCTCTGTTGCTCCAGGCAAATAGAGAACAATTGTAGGTTGGATGGTGGCTTGCAAGCTTTTAAGACCCTAGGCACTATACAAAGAACTAGGAGATAAAACAGAAGCACTAAATACCACATTAGGCCAATTAACGGAGATGTCCCATGAAATCATGATCCTAAAGCTCCAAACCAACGAATCAAATCCCATGAGCTTTTTTTTTGTCGTTGTGGATTAAAGTGCTCTTAAAAGGAAATGGAATAGCACATTATCACTTTTTAAAATACAATCTAAACCTTTGTTTAAGGGAATCAAAATCAAGGCAAATAGAGAAAACCTGTGGCAAGGTGCTGCCACCTATATATTCCTACCTATTCTCCGTCTCCAGTTCGTTCTTGCGTAGATTTGCATCATCCAGAAGGCTCTGCAACAAGGCAATTTTTTCATTGTCTGAACCCTCTTGGTTAATTTTTAACATTTTATTCTCATGCTGAAGACGAATAAGTTTCTCCCTGAAGGAACAAAATAAAAAAAGATTATCTAATATATGAATACAGTACGATTATCAAAATACTGCTATTCACAGTTAAAGATTTAGTACTTAGGGAAGAAGAGAAAAAGTACCTAAAAGAATTTAGCCCCTATTGTTACTGGCTAAGATATTAAATTACAGGTGTAAAGCACTTAGTACTTTCTTTTTAGAACAGACAATCTGAAGATAAAAGACTCTCCTAATATCCTGATTTGTAAAGAATTAAATTTCAAAATTCTACTCCCTTTCTGATTTAAACGTTTAAGCAATGAGTGCATTCATTTATTTGTCCTTTAGATTTTAATCAGAAAGTATGATCTCTAATGCTATGTTCTGAAATTACCAATCATTTGGTGGCAAGATATAATATTCAATGATGATTGCCTTCAAGATATGCAGTCCACCCATGCCTATACATAAGCAAAACTGTATCCTTCAAACAAGCCAGATTATCAGAGCAGGGTTACTGGACTACATTGTTTGAGCTCTGTTTTGTGCCTAAAGTTTACACTGAGGGATGTTAAAAGCAATACCAAAACAAAACCAAACCCTTTGCTGTACAGTCGATTCCAACTCATAACAACCTTATAGAACAGAGCAGAACTACCCCATGGGGTTTCCAAGGAGCGGCTGCTGGATTTTAACTATCGATCTTTTGATTAGCAGCCGAACTCTTAACCACTTCGCCACCAGGGCTCCGTTAAAGTAACAGCCGCACAAAATTTGCTGCATATTTACTACAAGGATGATATAGTTGAAGATTAATTCATGTGAACATATAACTGTTGAAGATAAAATTCTTTACATAGGGTTATCTTTTGAAGGCCCTGTGAAGATAATACTATCAGATACCATGAAAAGCTATGTTTTTCTCATGGAGAAAGAACAAACACAAAATAAGAGACACATACAGACACACAGAACCAGTCTGCTCTTATTTTCTAAACACCATAAATCTTACACTGCACTTTTGCTTTTGCTATTGGGAAATGAAAGTCAAATCTGTAGCTCAATTCAAGCAATTACATAGAACTTAATATATTTTGTCCACAAACATCACTGACTTCATCCTGTTTTTAAATTACATGCTCATTGCAGGAAAAAAAAAAAAAGATAAACGAAAAGAAAATACAAATCATCCATAACCCTAAGGTGCACAATAACTACTGCTGAAAAATACGGCCTTCTAATTCTATGCATATACACACACGCAAACAGTTTTAAAGATGGGATCATGTAGTACACGCTACATTGACACCTGCTCTTTACACTTAAAATATCATGATATTTTTGTATCATTAAATATTATACTTTAATATTTTAAATAATATGTTGTTAAATACATAGATGAATCATTATTTACTTAATCAATACCAACTATTGGATATTTAGATTGTTATCAATTTTTAGTTTTAACATGCTAATAATGATCAGCTTTATACACATATCTTTGTGTATATCCTTGGCTATAAAATAGATTCTTGCCAATTTGATAGGCAAACTTCATTCTGTGTTAAGGATATTAACCCAATCTCTATGACATAAGTTGCAAAATTTTCATTCATGCTTCCATTTCCTTTTTTTGGTAGCTTTTTTGGACATAGAGAATATTTTAATTTGTATGTTGACATACTGGAAAAGCAATTTTATTTGTTGAATCTTTGTTTTATCGTTGTTCTTTGTCCTTAGTTTAAAAAGCCAACTGCATTACCTATAAGCTTCCTTGAATAGGTTTTTTTGGGACACAACTGTTTAGTTATAACTATCCATAAATAACAATAAAGTGTTCGGAAATAATTTTTGGACAATACAAGTCAGACAAAGGTCTACTCTTCATAAGCTACAAGAAAATCCAACACCTCTACAACAAAAAGACAAATAATCCTATTAAAAAATGGGCAAAAGAAATGAACAGACACCTCACCAAAGAAGACATTCAAGTGGCCAACAGACACATGAGGAAATGCTCGCATTCACTAGCCATTAGAGAAATGCAAATTAAAACCACAATGAGATACCATCTCACCCCAGCATTACTGGCACGAACCAAAAGCAGTGGAAATAACAAATGTTGGAGAGGCTGCAGGGAGATCGGACTCTTATGCACTGCTGGTAGGAATACAAAATGATACAACCATTTTGGTTAATGATATGGCGCTTCCTTAGAAAGCTAGAAATAGAAATACCATACAATCCAGCAATCCCACTCCTAGGAATATATCCTAGAGAAATAAGAGCTGTCACACAAATAGACATATGCACACCCATGTTCATGGCAGCATTGTTCACAATAGCAAAAAGATGGAAACAACCTAGATGCCCATCAACAGATGA